TTAGGGTTTGGGGTTTGGGGTTTAGGGTTTGGGGTTTGAGGCTTTAGGGTTTAGGGTTTGGGGTTTAGGGTGTAGGGTTAGGGTTCAGGGTTTAGGGTTTTAGGGTTTAGGGTTTAGGGTTTGGGTTGTGGGTTGCGTGCTTGACCATGGGCACAGAGCTCTGACTGCGCTCCGCTCGGGGCTGTCCTTTGGGAACTTGCAAGCTGGTGATCGATAGATCCAAGATGATATTTACCGGTGTCAATGCCCGAACCAACACAGCTGCAGTAAAGCAAACAAGACGTGCTTAAGGAGTATAACTTGTTAACATCGGCAAGGCGGGCAAATTGAAATTGAACTATACGTAAAAACATGTAAACTATACAAGGATTATAACGCGATGTTTTCCTACTGTTCTCGGTGTTGCCCAGACCTGCATCAAGCATGGAGCATCATGGAGCTAACAGTCTGTTCAATGAGCACATCCCCCAGCTGAGGGCCCTCAGGTACTGATGTAGGGGGCCTTAATAATTAGAATAGGGTTTGGGGGTATATTATACTACATTTGTAACAAGGACCCCCCCCCAAAAAATAGTATAGGTAAGTATTTCCTAAACCCTAAACCCTAAACCCTGAACCCTAAACCCTAAACCCTAAACCGCCCCTATATGACCCTCGCCCCAGCCTTGTGCGAACGCGACCGGCAAGCTGCCTGAGGGTCTTGGGAAATCGATCTCTTGGGTCTCTGGCATTGAATTTTACATGTGTAGTTCTCAAAATTACGGTCCCTTTTAGGGTCCTTAGTATAAGGGTGCCGTTACTATATGGGGGACCTAAAAGGGATCCTAATTTGGAGAACTACCCATATGTTTTCCAACTACCGACAATTCAACGACGGTTTTCCTTCAACCAAACAATACCTTTAATATTTACGAACTCATGACCTATGGGTACTGTTCGATCGGGCTTGTGGCAGCAGTCAAGATGGATATAGAAGGTTCGCGACGCTTCTCCGAGTCTAAAGGATCAGCCAAGATTGGCAATCCAGGGGCATTAAGAATCGGATCAGGGCTCGGTGTGTGTATGTATACATATATATATATATATATACACACACCATAACTATACCAAAGAAATCTAACAGTAGATTGGTAGCTATTTAGGCCCTATATAGCAATATCATCATCCTACCGGCTCCGAGTGGGGGCCACCTAAATCCACACTTCTCGTGAGCTCGCGCCTCGTAGCGGGGGCTGTGAACCGAGGCGAACTTGCTGTCCTGGGCTGTAGGACGTACGTTCGCGATGCAGGGGTTTGAAGGCAGGGAACATATAGGGTCTGGGGTTTGTATGGAAACGGGGTGAAAGTGCATCAGCGCCTATTCAGACCTCTCAAAAAATCCCAGTAACTGGCCCATCATAGGTTCCTGCGTTTAAAATCAGGGAACACAAGCGCGGTGTCACGGTGGCAGAATATCCGGATTGTGGCATGTTTGTGAGGCTGAAGAAAGCATGTCATCGGGTCGAGCTTCGACATTGGGGCTTAGGGTGACGTGCAACAGGTTTAGGGTTTAGGGTTTTAGGGTTTAGGGTTTAGGGGTTTATAGGGTTTAGGAAGTACCTCAAGATCATACACGCAACGATTGCTGCTTCAAGATGCCTATACCCCTCCCAGGGACATCTACGTTAGCAGCCGTTTAGCACAAGATTGGTACTAAACCCTTAACCAAAGCACAACGCCGAGAGCCCCAAAACCATTATGGCAACCCTGAACGCAACGAACCCTTCCAGGAAGCCTTAGCAGAAGCATTCAAGATACCCTTAAAAGAACCCTAAGAAGCCTTCAAGGAAGCGTTCACGGTACCCTTTGAGGAACCCATAAATGGGGCCTTAAAAGAAGCATCCCAAGTACCCTTAGAGGAACCCTTTAACGGAGTCTTAAAGGAAGAGATTAAGCTGCAGTTCTCGAAACCGGTAGAAGAAGCCTTAAAGCGTCAAAGGAAGCGGTTCAAGGTTTAGGGTTTAGGGTTCAGTTTAGGGTTTAGGGTTTAGGTTTTAGGTACCCTCACAGTAACCATCAAAGGAAGCCTTAAAGCCTTAAAGGCACCTTTCCAACCTTAGAGGAATCCTCTAAACCCTAAACCCTAAACCCAGGCTTGGAAGCCCTTGACTCGCACCAGGACCCAAGCTACTCGAGCTCCCTGGTGGCGGAAGCCAAGCGCCTCAAGGTTTCGGCTTTGGGGTTTTAGGTTTGGTTTAGGGGTTTAGGGTTTAGGGTTTAGGGGTTTAGGTTTAAGGTTGGATCTGGGGGTTTAGGGTTTAGGGTTTGCGGTTCAGCAGCTCCGGATCAAGCAATATCTAGTCGAGCGTGCGCTCCGGAATAAGGAAACACCCACCCAGAGAATCCCAACACTATAAGAACATATTAAGTTTATCATTTCCCTACGCGTCACAAACGAAATCCTGAACCCTTAACAAAACCTTAGATTGAACCCTAAACGGACTCCGACAAGGAACTCCAAGCGATAACTTAATCGAAACCCTCACCGAAACCTCCTTAAAAATACCCCTAAAGGGAACCCTAAAAAGGTACATTAAGCGAAGGCATAAACGCAACCCTAACCGAAACCCTGGACGGAACCCCACGAGGATTCGGAACGCTATTTTAGAACTCGGACTATTATGTCAAAGTTCGGACTACTGTTTTAGGGTTCGGACTACGATTTTGGGCTTCGGACTATTATTTTTTGGTTCAAACCAACCGTTATTTTAGGATTCGGACTACTATTTTAGGCTTGGGACTATGATTTTGAGTTTCGGGCTATTAGTTTACGGTTCGGATTCGGACTACCATGTTAAGATTCCGACTACTGCTTTAGGGTTCGGACTACTAATTTGGATTTCGCACTATCATTTTAGAGTTCGGACTCTGACAACTATTTTGGGGTTCGGACTATTATTTCAAGGTTCGGACTACTTTCTCGGGTCCGGGCATATTGTTTTAGGGTTCGGACCTTGCGCACGAAGAAACGAGCCTTGGCTGCGAAAATAATCCTTGCCCACGAACGTTGCCCCACAAACGAGCCTGGCACCCTTGCCCAGAAACGACCCTTGCCCACGAATAAACGCCCCTTTCCACGACCCTGACCCTTGCCCACGAAGGAACAACCCTTGCCCACGAAGTTAGGGTTTGGGGTTTCGGGTTTAGGGGTGTGTTTAGGGGTTCAGGGGTAGGGCTTAGTGTTAGGTGTTTAGGATTGGGACATCGGGGTTCAGGGGTTAGGGGTTTGTGTGGGAAGCCCTGCTTAGCCCTGCTTTGCGATAACTAGTAATTCAGGGTGCTCAAGGGATTCGCTGGTATAGATTGACAAAATAAAGGTTCATAGGGTTTTGGGTTCTGATTTCTTGGATAGCCTATGTCCGATTGCATCGAGCTCTTCAATTTCGCATGCGTGGGGCACATTCAAGCATATTTGGAAAGAGCTGTGCTGCTGGTGATCAGCAAACTTGGATCTGAGCTCCTGGCAGACCCTGTGGCAGGTAGTTCGCTGTCTATGTGTCCTCTCCGAACTCTGCAATGTGCGCAAGCAAAGCTTCAGTGAAAATGCACGCAGACAGATGCACATACTCAAGACAGTGCATACTATACCGGACGTATGCAAACAGACTTGAATGTGAAGTACATACATGTCTGCATGCAAAGCCGGAAATGGCGTGCAAGTGCATGGAATTATGCAGACAGTGCATGCATCCAAATATGTAGACACTTGCATCAGATACTTAAAAACCTGCCAGCAAACAACATAGAGACATGTCAGTAGCAGCTGTGGCACGCGATGCATGGTCTGAAAGCAGCACAAGGCATTGGGCCTAGGGCACATGAGCCTCTCACATAACATATCAGTTGCTTAGCTCATATCATGCATCTTGCACGACGGGAGCTCCAATCGTGTTGGCAGGCAATGGCCTGGTGACTGGATGTGAACAAATTGAGCAACTGCACCAGCAGATGGAAGAACAGCAGATCCGGTGAGAATTTGCGGGCATCAGATCATCAGCGGTACACGATCGGTGTCCCCATACAGCAACAACAGTAACAGTCTATAATAGGGCTGCTATTCCGGGCCTTATGCATCGATACTACGAATACTATTCATACCTGTTCCTGGGTGGGGGCAGTATCCAAGACAACCGGTAACTGAGGCTTATAAGAGGCCTTGATGACCCTCCTTGGGTCTATGAACAAACACATCACCTTGCTAGTCTCCTAGGCATTTTCAATGACGGCAAAGCCGAGATAAGGTACACCTGGCTTTAGGAACACCACCCCAAAAAAAAACAACAAAAAACACTTCTAATTAAAGCCGCTTAGGAAGCCGTAGTAAAACCCTTTATATGATGGCTTTTTGTCAGAACCGCGGGGACACCTTTATATCATTCATTGAGGCCCCGGTAAACCGCCATGCCTGATGCACGAAGATTTCTGAGAAGGTCTTCGTGTCGCACGCGAGTATACTATTACACTGACACAGGGACAAAGAGCATCTTACACAGCAGAACAGCACAATAGAACAGTTCGACATCGTCCAGTCTGGCAGAAGATAGTGTGACTCGGTACAGAAAGCAGACCTGCCTGCAGATCGAAGCCATCGGTGGCTTCGAACAGAGCTCGCACTAGAACGATCCTGGCTTCCCCAACAAGCCGATCTCTGTTTCCAAGGATTCAGGAGCGACAGGAACCACCTCCAGAAAAAGGGGTTAGAGGGCACACCGTATAATATCCCTGAATCTTAAACCGTAAACCGAAGCCCTAAACCTAAACCATTATTATCAACTATCATTTACTTGTATATACCATTTATTATATACTACAATCATATAGACTGTTATGTACTAATCTGAGTAGCCTTAAGCCCTGAGCAACCCAGGAGTAGCAGGGGGATCCTGGCAGTTTGATCTCTCGTTTGATCTGGGGTCTAATGAAGGGGCCTGAATAATTAGAATAGGGTTTTTGGGAGGTCCTTATTAACATTATAGTATAATATACCCCAAACCCTATTCTGATTATTAAAGCCGCCTTTATTAGGGGTTTGGGGGTTTTAGGGATCAGGGGTTTGCTGATTAGGGGTTGAGGGACTGTGAGATTAAGGGTTTAGGGCTTTGGGGCTTGAGGGTTTAGGGGGCTTAGAGTGTTTGGAAGACAAAATATAGGAACTGCGACGAACGTTCATGATCTTGCGGGCTTTGGGACCAAGCTTCTGAGAACAAGAACCCTACACCCTAAACACCTAAACCTCTTAACCCAAAATCCCTGAACCCCTGCCCCCTAAACCCAGGAGTGTAGGACTTGGGAATGTTTATCGGCTTCAGGGTTCTGATGCATTCGCCGGAAGGGGCTTGCGGACTTTTGCATGCAGAGGGGGTTCGGGTGCAGGGCACAGGGTCATGCGTCGCCCTTAAACCTCACGCCCAAACGTCTTCTGACCTACATGTCCACGCCTGCACCCTAATGATTAGTCGTTAAAAAAGCTCCAGACAGTTCATCCCCCAAAACCTAAACCCGACCTGAAACCCCAAACCTGAGCCGCCCCCCCCCCCCCCCCCCC